GGTAGGACAGAAAATGACTTCTATACTTTTAAAATTTGCCCAAAATTTAGGAGGTCTTTAGACCGAGCCAACTATAGCTCTTATTTTGAATTAAAGTTTGTTATCAAGAGCAATTTTCAACAAAAACTTTCCAAATTCGTAAATCATTTCATTTAAGGAAAATGGTTTAAAGTTCATAGAAACAACTTGAACAAAAATACTCATGAATTTCTAATAATGGCAAAAAATAGTTCATAGAACAGAAATTGAATTGATTTATTTAGCTAGGATTGAGAAAAAAAAATTTTTGCTACAACTAATCATGGATTTCATGTGAATTGTCAGAAGAGTTATCATGCATACTATTTACAATAATCTAATTGCAGTGTCGTATGACATATATTCTTCACAATCATTGCTAAATGAAAAGCTTATAAATTGTGAATAAATAAGATTTTATTATTAACAATATGTTTAAATTACAAAATAAATATAAATTAATGTATGTAATACAATTTAATATAATATAAATAATTTATGTTTGTATTTGTGTTTGTGGTTTCACATTTAAATTAGTTGAAAAACTAACACTACTAGAAATTCTAACAGAACCAGTGACTGTGTGCCTAGTATTTACCACTGATCCTAACCCAATTACAACCCAAAATGATAAACTTTTCGTAACTTGATTATCCTCATTAAATGATAATGATGAATCAATTTTAAGTTTCTCATTTGAATTATCTTCAGTTTTAGTGTCAAGATTATCATCAGATTTAGAATCCGGCATGATTGCTTTAGTAGTATCAGTGGATAAAATTGATGATTCAATATTATTATCATCAGTAATCTTGCTAGTACAAGTAACCAATAATGCAAACTATAAAATAATGGAAAAGTATTATTTACATTAATACATATACAAGTATATATTACCACTATTAACATCATTTGCAAACCTTAAACTCTTCTACTTCAGCTTCGGGTGTGATTTCCAAAATGATGCTTGTAGAATTACTTCTTCTTTCATAAATACCAATATCGGATTTGGGTGTACCAGATATTTGAGAGCGAGACTTTGAAGGAATCGAGTCTTGTTCATCATATTCCCATACTTCATTATATGGTGCAATACTAAAATGCGGCGCAAGAACTTTAATCTATAAAAAAAAAAAATCAATCACCATAAATATTCAAAACATCTTTATAACATTTTAAAATATAGGTATTTTTTAAAAAAATTGAAATATTTACTTTTCCAAATTCTGCATCTTGCACATCTAAATCTAATATAGCTTCTTCGTACAATGGATTTGAAAACTTTAAAATAATCTGGGTGGTTTGATTTAGTATAAGTTTTGGTAGACTCATAATAGTAATTTTTGGAATGTAGGCTCTACAAGATCAAAGAAATAAAATTGAATTAGAAGATTCCCAAAGATTTTTATTTACATGATATTGTTAAAAATCAACCCACTTACAAAGCAATAAGTTTAATTTTAAATCTAGTTGATTGAGCTTTTTGTTCAGGTTTTATTAGTATGTGACGACATTGTCTACATCTTTTAACACGTTTTGTACGAAGATGTGTACGCTGTGGTTGAAGGTGACTATTAAAATAAATATTGTATTTAAATTATTTGATGATTAATAAATTATTTGATTGATTAGTACTTACTCTACTTTGTATGGTTGATCGCTTAGTTGATTCATTCTTTGCATTAATGTTGTAACTTTTAATAAATAATAAATAATAAATAATTGATCAACAATAATTGAAAGAGTCGTATTAAAATAGTAATTGTTTGATAATTACTTTGATTGATATCTTTTAATTGAACCAAATCATCAACCAATACGCTTTCATTTTCAACTCTAATGGCAGCTTCATATGGGGCAAGATCATCCGATTTTTGTTGGGTATGAGATAATCCACCAGGAATAGCCACACTACCATATCTACTACTAAAATTACCTATCCCTGTAATGGATGTTGGCAATGTTGCAGCTGGAGTAGTGTGTCGTAAATGTTTTTCAAAATGTTCTTTGAGATGATCAAATTCTTTAACATCAGGTCTTTCGTCTTCTGCTTTTTGAAGTTGTGCTAAATTCATCATCGTCACCAACATCATCATTATTAATTAATAATAAAAATATCAATTATGGGGTGAGTAAACAAATTATTTCTTATTTTCCATTTCGATCCACTCTCACATCCTATTAAATCTTTTTCATAATAAAAAAAAGTTAATGATTACATGCTAGTCCAGTTGCTTTCTCAAAAGTCATTCCAATTTCTTGCGAGTCCCATCGACAAACACCACATGAAAAATAGTATGGCGCACCGCTAATTGTCTCAGGTGAAATCGTGGTAGAATCTGTGGTAGTAATTAGTGCTGTTGAAGAAGTGAGAGATGATGGTGTTGATTCAGTGGAAGCAACAATCGAAAGTGTATTTTGACATATTGGACATTGAAAACAATTTCTTGCACATCTTTAAATAATAATAATAGTAATTATTGATTTATTGATTTATTAATTGGTTGGTTAGTTAATTGAATAAAGTAATATTTTAAAAAAACACGCACAATAATATACTTGCTAGCCAAACCTATTAGCAATTTGTTTACGACATACCTATTCCTTTCACTTTTTACACTAGCCGTTGGAACTTCAAATAAACAATTAGGACAATAATAACAGACTATTTCTTCTTGTACACATCTTGGACAACGTATTTGATGACAATGCTCACAAAAATAAAGTTTAGATATATTGAAAGTTGTAAAGTGAATGCATGGCGAGTTGATATCGAAAAAAGGTAAAGTTTTTGTTGTGGTTGCTGTGATTATTGTTATTGCTGTTGTTTCTGTTGTTTCTGTTTCTGTTTCTGTTTCTGTTGAAGTAGTTATAACGCCAGGAACCTCTGTTACTTCTTTTTTATCATTATCATTTTTAACTAAATCAGGACATGAGCAATGATAATGTACATAAGGGGACATATGGCGCTTTTCAGTTGACTGCGAAGAAGTAGTTGACATTTTTTTTTAACTGAATTTTTTTTTGAATTAGAAAATATAAAGACATGTATGAAAGAACGTGAAAATCAGCATATACGAATTTATATTGTACTACTACTACTTCCCCAAAGTGAAAATTTTGAATACATAAGCCACCGAGAGTCACATGATTTTTATTATTTTATGAAATAGTGTAATAGTAATAGTTTAATTTATAAGCTTACCTTATTTATTATCTTGTGTATTTTAGGAATGGTATATATAACATGTTATTAAATGATTTCAAGGGTATATACCAGGTATAATAAATGGTTAAACCCTGGGTATAAGTTAAATTTTACGAATACTATCCCCCACCATTTATGTCATTTTATGTGTAACTTTTTCCACTACAAAAAACTATTACTACACACATTCTAAATTTACAAAATAACAACGGTAATTTTAAATGGGAGATTTTTTAATTGCCTAATATATATTTTTATATTTATTATAGGAACCTAAGTTGAAAATAACTTTACATTGTTCTATTACTGGACTTGATTGTTATAAATCGCAAAATGAAAATCAAAGGATTACCGTAGCTAAACTTACTCTTCCAGATATTTCAGATAATGATTCAAAATCAGTAAATGTTATAAGTGGAAACCCACCCAGTTACTACTGAAACAGATAATACATGTAACTTGATGACAGTGATACTAGTGTTGATGATTCTATTAGTTCCATCATGCATTTAATGATACAAATATTGCGCCATCATAAAATAGATCAAACAATTATAGAAAAATTTATTATAGGCATTAATATCATGAATGACTCCTTTTTAAAGCAACGGTTTTTTTAAAATCCAACATGTGTAACATCTATACCCAATAATTAAAAAACATGTTTATTTTTGTGACGTATGTTTGTCGATCAATATGCATACAAATCGGTTATATTCTTGGGAAAAAAAGAATGGATTGTATAATTTGGATATAATATTGGGAATTGCTATTTCTCACCGGTGATGATTGTCACCACCTAAGGAATTAAATTTGCGTGGGGCGGAGTTAGGGTTGGAGTTAATCATAAATTGTATAATTCCTTAGGTGGTGACAATCATCACCGGTGAGAAATAGAAATTCCCTATAATATTTATTGATAATGTTACACGTATTTTTTTTTGTAAATACCAAGCAATCATCCAGAGGCATATTGATATACAATTATTATAAAATATCATTTTTTTCTGTTTTTAACTTTTTTTTTCTCCGCAACAAAATATTCACTAAAAAATTATTACTTTTAACCATGTCACCATCACAATCTTCAATGGCAGCAACTTTGGGTTATTCGAGTATATCTTGCGTGTCCTGTAAAAGCAAAAAGATTGAATGTGATAGATTGAGACCATCTTGCACAGCTTGTACCAAATCAAATCATAACTGCCAGTACACTTCTTATTCACTTTCTCAACCTTTGATCTATGATGAGAATAAATTTATTAATACAAGCATCAATTGTAATGGCAATGGCAATGATAATAGTATTAATAATAACGAACATTTTTTAAATAATAAATTACAACTAGAACAACCTCATCAAAGGATTCCTGGTAAATTTCATCCGCATTACTCTGACCCCGCAAAGGTAATAATGCACACATTTAGTTCCATGTAATTAATGTTTTCATTTTCATTTATTGACTTTTCAAATATAATATTATTTATTTAGTACGTTGAATTCTCTGGACCAACGTGTTCACCGTATGCACTTGGATTCAATTCTCGAAAACGAAATAACGATAATTTAGAAGATTTTAATAACAATAGAAACACTAATTCAATTTACAATCAATTATTGTTGGATGATTCTCCTCTTCTTTCTCTTCCTCGCATACATTCTCCATCTACAACATTTAATAACCAAATCCCTTCTCCGATTAGCGATAATAATTGTTGCCTTGATTCACCACCACAAACATTACAACAACCTCAATTATTACAATCAACTCTTCAAACCAATACTCCTATGACTGCCCCTGAAATTCAAATTACTCCTGATGATGGCAACGACTGTGATAACATTTCCACCACTGCCAATTTATATAATGGCCAGATCATTACAATTTACGTACCTGATCTTGAATATGCACAAATACTTCTTGAAAACAACACCACTTCAGATTTATCAGGTCCGCAAGCATTGTTCTATCTTGCGTTGTTAGACGAACTACGACAAATTCCCAATTTTAACATTAGTAATGCGGAGTTTGCAAAAGTTTTTACTAATTCATGGCGAAATTCCAGTATTGAATACACAGACAAATTTATTATTTTGGCAGACAAACTTGAACTCGATTAAATATCCAACTCGAATCAATTAATTTTTTGGCAATCGTAAACACAAACAAATTTTTTTAATCGTTAAACCAATGAAATAATTATATTAATATGATTATTTTAACTATGCTTTAATTTTAAGATTTTTAATTATGAACAATTATCAAAACAATTATTTTAATATAATGATAATATTTTCTTATGTTTTTTTTTTAATTAATTTAATTTTTCTTTATGTTTTTTTTTTTTATTAATTTAAGTATTAGTATTATAAAACTTTTAAAGCGATTCGTTCATATTAATATAGACTGCGTCACACATTACTATCAGGAAATAATAATAATGGCACAGATCATTCTTTGAAAAAATAATGTGCAAATTCTTGTCTTCATTTTTAATAGTTTGCTGAAAATAATACAGTGTTGGCAAATGACCACGTAATTTGACAACATTGCTTGAATATACAAATCTTCCATTGAAACGCACTCTTCCACTAAACCGATTGAAGGATGTTAATTAACTTTACTAAAAATACCAACCAAACTTATACATAATCTCTAACAACAACAACAAAAAAAAAAGAATTATAGGAAAAGCCTTGTTTAACGAATTCAATATTTTTTTGCCCACACACGCCTTAATTCTTTATACATCTATTTTTATCCTCTTCAACGTCAACTAATCTTTTAATAGACCATTAGATAAATAAATACACTAAAAAGAAAAAGGAAATATTTTATTATTTTCATCGTTCCAATCCAAAAGTGTAACAAATTCAAGGTTTTGGCTTTCCCCTTCTACCTTTATTTTTTATTTTTTTGCATTTATCCAAGTCTTTGAAATTAAATCTTAAGTTTAAAAATTAAAGAAATCCCTTCCTGCCCTTGAACCTGACATAATACTCAAAACTGCAGTATCTGATTTGTTAGAAGGGTAAATTTTTATTTCTCTGAATCTTCCCAATTCAAAAAATCATTGCGTTTTAATTACCAAACACCATATTAAAGATGTACAGGAAGTGGCTCTCAAGAGTGGAATGATATGTTACCAGTTTCTCTTTTCCTTATTGTATTACAACCAAATTTAGCATCTATCAAAATATTTATTAGGTGCTCTACAGAAAGAACCCAACGGAATACTAAACACAAAAAAAATGAAAAAACACTGTCTTTTATATTTACATATTACAAGAAGACTTTGTGAGATTCCGTAAAAAATTTTATAGTAATAGGGACATATGTCTTTTTCAACAAATTCATTGTTGTAATAAAGCCAAATTTCCAATACCATCTGCCCGATAACCACTAAAACTATCCACAAAATTAAACATAATGTATACTGCAGTAACATGAACATGGGCAAGCTTTCGCATCAGAATTAGATCCAAATAAGTTGGAAGCTCCTGCTGGTAACAAAGAGTGCTTTCGCTTACTAATAGACCATCGTTAGGAAGTTTCTCTGAATTCAACTCCGCTCTACCAAATATCCATGTCAGTAATATTAAGACCTTTTCAACATAACGTTGTGCTGGAATAGTTTGCACATCTGTTACGTTAATTGTTCCTGTTGTACTAGATTGCAATTTGATAGTCTTCACACTAGCTTCAATCCCTCTTGTAGTATATAAAGTACTGTATGTGTGGAAAATCCAGCAATTATCACAAACACTATATATTGTCCCTTTTACCATGCTATTCAATCTAAATTTGAGCAATTGGACTAAGATTTGAGTTAGTATATATTTGTAATAACTTTCAAGAGCCAAGAAAGGATTGGAATAACGAGATAATAATTAATTAAAAATTCTTCTCCCTCCTGATAAAACCAATCTAATGCCTGATTATAAGCGCAATAAATATTGCAACAGAAAATGTTTATTGTATTCCTAGTACAGTACAGATCATTTATACTCAAAAGTTAAAATTTTTGAAATATTATGTTGGATTTTAAAATTTTCCAAGTCTAATTCTTTTTCCTTCACCACCAACTCTTAATTTTCTTACGTTCTTCTTGAAAGTTCTCTGTATTTTGCAAGTGTATGGACAAGCTGTTAAATTCTTTCATCTTATGCAATGTATGGAGGAAAAGAATGGAGCATTTAAAAATTTATTTGATATCATATAACGGTAACACACAGAAAATAATTTTTTTTTATTGATAACAAGTTTTAAAATAATGAGCTGGATAAAAAAAATTTTTTTGTTTTTACAATTGAAACAAACATGTATATATTTAAGAGAATTTTAAGTCTAGTTTAATTTATTCAATCCTTCACTATTAATTTTTTTTTAACTATTTTATTTCCCATTAATAATTATCCTGTTGGAAACATTTTGTTGACCGTATTATTATTGCCAATAAAATATCAAAATCAGAATGAAAATACCCAATTAGTTTGTATATGATAAGCTTCAGAGATTTTTCTTCAGAAAGATGGTTGGTTGATGAGAGGTTAATTAATAGAAAATCCGCAAAATTTGCCTTGTTGAGATCATTGCTCACTATTTTGTTGAATCGCCTGTCTTTCATGAAGTTACAAGAAATAATCAATTCGGAAATCACGTTATCTTTAGTAGTGTTGGCAATTTGGCTAGCCCAAATTAAAATTGTCACATGATTAGATATGTTGTAATTCAAAATTAAATATATATTTTAACAAGAGATGCAATTATTGCTCCAGGTAAAAATTTTTTTTTGAATTTTACAATATTTATACTATATAAATAAATAT